CCAAAGAAAACATGACATGAGCGCCGATTAGGGGTAGAAAACTCAATATACGCTGTACGGCATAGTCCAAGAGGTCCTACAACCCGATGGCTCTTGTGGTGTTGTTAGAGACATCAAACCCACTTTCCCGATTGCCCGAACCGTGATATGCCAGATATCGTCCAGGACGCGATGAGTTTGAGGAAACATCATCGATGCTCTAAGAACAGTGAGCTCGGGGCGTAGAGACTTTCGCGGTTTGCTGGCAAGACCTGCTTTGGTCGCCAATTGTGATATGTTAGAAGACGGTCATAGTGGAAAAAGGATACACGATAGCTTGACTGACCTGCAGCTGCAGTGACATTCAAAGCATATGGGCTTTGTACATAGTGCTCGGGCTTAGCGGTTGGGGGTGGCCGGAGTCACGGATACCGTGCGGCAAGTTCGAAACAAATCTCACCACTTGACTCAAACAAGTCTTTTTTAGGCCTATGGCACACCTTACCAATTCTGTTTCTTGGCAGTATCTATGAAAGCTGAATCTACTGATATTTCAGTTGATGGATTGCGTATCTAGCTGAAATTAAAACCCCTAATACACTAAAACGAGCTTTTTGTTCCATCCTGGCGTCAACCGAACCAAACCACCTTATTTCCTTGTTCGAGCGCTTAGTTAGCTAGTCAGTGTTTACTCATTAATCATTTTGAATAGCTTGCTTACTCTGATCCGTCACAGTAACATCCTTATTAGCAGCAAAGTCCACATCCTCTGAAAGTCGCCAGGACCTTGTAGAATAGGTCTCGTAAGGTTCAATACTAACAATTTTTCCAGTGAAATTCTTTCTAGTCTCTCCAGGGCAAAGTAAAGTTAAAGGTTCATCTGTATTATTTTCATCGAGTGTCAACTTCACATCGGACTCTTTCGACACTGTGATATTGTCGTTGACAAATTTTGCTGTAGGCATAGTAGGATATAAGATTCGTGCTTGGTATAACGTTGTACCAGCTTGGTGACGATATGGTGAAGCAGTGTCTTATAGCAACTGCTAAATATGTTGCGGGGTTCATGGGTTCAACTCAATATATATTGCGGTTGATTCTATAACGTCATAATGATCAGTTCTTCTCCGTTACCTTGAATGTAGTTGGCCCACCACCCATTCGCTGGACGGCCACTTTGGAATATACGTTACAGGTTACCAGACATGAGCTATGTAGTTTATACAGGTAGATACCGTACAAATGACTACCCAGGAATATTGCTATTCTGGGCTATCACTCATAGAGATTAGTATATTTTGGCATTAGGGTTCCAGAAACAATCGAAGAATGTAAGTGGTGACGCCGGTTTACTGTACGTTGCGATAGCATGGACATCTCTGTATACAAAACACAACAGACATTGTATAGACTGGCGACCACTGCACATCGCGTGAAATTGTTGTTGTGTATGGAGCGGGAAGGATTTCGGACCCACATGCGGGTGCTCCCGAGCCCCCTCGCGAGAAACGAGAACGGCCGACGCGTTGGAAAACCTTGATTCGACCACTGCGCCTCGGCTTAGCGATGGCCAAACCACCGCAGCTCTCTCGAACGCCGAGACCACGAGCACCGGAGACAATAATGGACGCGTCACGACTCGAGAAGTCTGGCTGCTGAACGACGGCTTAAAAGAAACGATCGCTTACCAAACCGAGCTCATCTAATCCACCTCTTCAACCGAACCACCAACGCCCGGACAAGGATCAGAACTGCGCCCGAATTAGCACTCAGCGCTCCTTTGTGGATCCGAGGGACAACGATAACAGCGAACAAAACACCTTTGGCGCTATCTCCCAACGGAGACCACGAACATTCACTTCCGTACGGCGCACCGTCCACACAATATGCCCAAGTGGCCTGGGTTGGCACCACCAAAACCGGATATGTGATCCGGTTCAAGAACCCAGAGTCGGCGGAAGCGGCCGCATCAACAGCGAATGGCTGAACGAGCTAGGAAACAACACGAAACTGGTCAAGCCCGGTTCGGCGTCGTGGTACACCGTACCCTGACAGAGGACATCGACCTAGAAAACGCAAGCGCACAGGCAACCGAGAAAATCATTAAAGAGAATGAGCTGATTGAGCGAGGCTTCCGCATCAAAGAGCTAGCGTGGTTAAAGATGAGAGATAAAGCGCTAGGAAAGTTTGCATCACTAGGAATCTGGTTCGACTCGGCAGAGGGCGCGGAGCGGATCCTAGTGCGGATCCTAGACTACGGTCTTCTAGTCGGTCAAAGATATGCAGTATCGGCAGCGTGGAACGCCGCGAAATCCAGAACAAAAGATGCTTCCGGTGCCAACGATTTGGACACTTTGCATGGTCATGCAAGGAAACGCCTTGATGTGGACATTGCGCTGGTCAACACGAACGACAACGGTGCCCTCCGGGTGTAAGAGCCCGATGCCTTGACTGCAGTGGTGAACACCCAACCGGCGATCGTCAGTGCGTAACGCCGGCAACCTCTAACTCCCAACGTTAGAGACAACCCTATGCGTACTACAGTTGAACATCATGAAATCGGGACCGAGGATGGAAGCGCTCATCAACGACCACCAAAGCCAGGACCTGGATGTACTCCTGATCCAAGAACCGTCTATCACCACCTATTAAACACACGTCAGCCACAGCGCTTGACGGCTATACCGACCGACTGCCGAGACTGATGCAGGTCGGTTTGGGAGTCTGATCTATGTCTACCAGAAAGTCTCAATATCCTCCCTTCACTCACCGCCTTCCAAGGAATAAATATCTGCTTATAGCCGCAACCCATGGTGACCTGAGCACGTCTACTATTTTTATTGTTCATTTCAATTCCTTTCCAACGTAGTCACAATACCTTCCACATTAGCTCAAATATCACGGCAACATTCATCCAGTGGCTTGGCTCAACTAAATGCCAATCTGCCCCTCAAATTCTTTATTTACGGCCCGTATTTGTTGAACCTAAGAGAACGCATCACTTTTGGTGGTTTTGGTGAAAATTATGGATGCCAAAGGCGTCGTTTTGAGATTACACTTTCGGAATAAGCACAATTTTGCATCGTGTTGTGTACATCCGTTCGCAATTAGTTGTTGTAACGTTCAGACAAAACCAAAAGAAATCTTTGTGAGGCTGGAAAATATTGGTCACTAAATTGGTGGAGGCTAACTGATCACTGTCAGTTTCCCACGTGAACGTCAGCCATGCTACTCCAAGGTGGAGAAAGGAATACCAGACTACCCAATCCCCAACCATACATTCGTTCCTCTGATCAATCAATCAATCAATCAAAGTTCTATTAACCTGTTGGAGCCTAACTAGTATCGTAATGGCTATGCAGGCGCTTCTATCCGGTTGAAGCAAGAACTCGTGTCCGTACGCCTGATCATGCTCCAGTACAAAAAGAGGCTGGTTCTCAAAGAGTGGAAGCACCAGCCCGTACATGTAAGCCAAACCCATAAAACCCATACAAATCGCAGTACAAATGAGAAATTCAACGCTAATAAGCAATGAATACAAAATGAATGCGTGGATGCACCTCCACCTCTCCAATGTCCTCTCCTTCTCACTAGACATATATACACTTCCGCATCAAAGACCCTACCCAGTAAGCACTAAGCAAGATCAAACCCCGTTCTCCGACATCCTCACTTCAGCCTCGATTGCTGTTCATTGTTGTTCCAGGCCGTTCTGGGGCCAACAGCCCAGTCCGGCAGCGTGTATTCGAATAGCACATCGAGGTTCTCTCCACCCTCGACGGTGTTGGCAAGCATTGATGAGTGCCCAGCGTCTTCGGGACTCTTCGTTCCTCTGATCCATTAGGTTTACGCGGGAACTTTATACTGTACCCCTCGAGGTGGTTGTATTCATTTGTCAGATTCACTTTTCTACATCGTTGGCTACAGTATCACGTTCTACGGGAGAAAGGATCCGTGGCCTGGCTTGTTATCTCCCAACTATCTAGAGAAGCGAGGCTGGATGCCACAAACTCGCCCATTAATAGCCAATCAATCTACAAGTCCGCAAAGTCACGTGCATGTACCACTACGGAGTATCGTACAGTGGGTGCGGAAAGGTCATGCATGGTATTCGTCGTGGTTTGGGTGATTCTATAACCGGCCATTGCATGGGCCGCACAATAATGGACCAACTGATTAGGCGGTTGCCGCGCCCCTTAGTGTCTCATGAACCAAAAGATCGTCTGATTCTCTTTATCGTAGGAAAAACTACGGTTTCCGCGAACTCTTGATTTTCTCCCGAAGGCGGGGGTCCTCTGATTATCTCTATCATAGGAGAAACCACAGATTTTCTTATAATCTAAGACCCTTCGGGGGAGCCTACACATCGTTAGACAAGGTAGATCGTAGGGAACACCACGGTTTCAGCGCACTTCAGGCTCTTACGAGCCAGACGATCTTCTGGTTATCTGTATCATAGGAAAAGCCACGGTTTCCGCGAGCTCTGACTCTCTTGCAAACCGCAAGAACATACGGCCATCGCTGTCGTAAGAAATGTCACGATCCTTCAGCAACTCTAAGGGTCTTCCCATGAACCGAGCCCCCGTCAGACTAGTGGTATCATGAGAAACACTACGATTTTCGTCCACGATGATAATCTCACGAATCAAAAGATCACGGGACAATATCCATCCCAAGATTTACCATGATTCCGCGATCTTAACGGTCATGTGGTGCTTTACCGTCAACTACCGGCGCCTTAGAAACCATGGGAAAGCGCCCTACGGAACTATCGGCTGGCCATATTTGTATGAAAGCGACGTCCTATTCATAACTTCCTAATACTGTATTTCAATCTCTGTAATGACCGACAGATTAAATCAAAATTTCAGATCAACAAACTCAAAACATCGATCTTCATCGCCATACCTCCGCATCGCTTCTCGGACCCAATCCTATAATGTCCAAAGCGGCCACCATGGACGCTCGATTCCTGACGTTGATTCTCAGCCCATGGAGAAGAGATGATCAACATGAAGTGTTTATTTGGGCGTGGTTGGGATAAGTGCAATCTGTGGAGATGAACTATGTTCGGGCTCCTGAGTGTGGCTGATTTGGCCGAGCATCTTGCAGGGTTGGGAAGAATTGATGATGTAATGAACAGCTTTGCACTGCGAATCGCTGGAACAGGCGTTCAAACAATCGGTGAATCCATGTTCGGTCATCTGATAGTCAGAGAAGCCCTTGCCACGTTTGAAGCAATGAACCTTGTAGGTGATACCTCCCTGCTTGAAAGTTTTGCCATCCCTTCTGGGGCACTGGTCCAGTGCATTCTGCTTCTTGCTCCACGCATTCTTCTGCTGCTGGCAAGCTGCGTTCTGCTCCTGACAAGCTGCGTTCTGCTCCTGGCAAGCCTCCACCTCGCTGGCGCAGTCTTCTTCAGGGAAGGGATTATTATCTTCTGTATCTTCTGGGAACGGGTCCTCTGACTCAACCACCTCCATCCAAAGGACGTTGGCACGGGCTTGACCGTTTTGGCTGCCACTAAGGACACATTTTTTCTGGACGGATTGCCAGGAGCTTCCAGTGCAATCAGGCTTGTCCTGGCAGAGCTGCGCACAAGCCTGGGGAGTGTTGATGTTCGGGAAAGTATTTCCTCCATGTGGACCAAGCCAACCACATTTGTACTTCACATTATATCCAGGGTTTATTTCCTCAATCTGTCCATCCTTCTCGGGACAAACACCAGCATACTGGGCCTGGCCCGCAGCGAGGAATGAACAGTAAAGGATGATGTTTTGAAGTTTCATTTCGAGAAGTGCAAGGAAGCAACACGAGCTGAGAATGTGAATGGCGATCACTCGAAGAAGTTTGCCAGTGAAATAGGAAGGAAGTGAGGAAGATACCCTAGACTTGCTGGGGTAGCTAGGCTAATTTATATCTTCTCCCCACTCACTATTTAGCGACCCTGGCAGCGATTTTAGCCTGTCCTACTGACCAATGCCTGAACCGAGACCCGCCAGACAAATTGATAGTCCCAGTCTTGGTATACGCAGATCCCAAAGTGCAAGGATAGTAGCAGCAAGGGATAGCTGAGTTCGAGGCATTTGACTCAGGTTCTGTTCCTACGTGGTGTACTGTACCGAAAAAATGTGTAATGGCGTGCGGAATAGATGCACATCTAAAACTAGTTACTAATTTCACGCTAGGGGCACCTACCGGGTCCGTTAATCTTCTTCTGCTGGCAGTTCAACAGCACGTTCTAACACAGCAATCATCGTTCTTCACATAAAGCTTTAGTGAATATAATCACTATTTGTGATGCCTATTGCAAGATAGGCCAAAAGAACAATGCTATCTATGCAACACGGCTCGCCTCTCCGAGGATTTGTGGTTCTAATATGCATGTAGCCAATAGTCCTTCACACAAGAAAGAGAGACCTCACAAACCATGTCCGCTGCTGCATCCCAAAGTCTGAAGTGTAAGCCTCGATGGATGGGCTTCGATAATTCTTGTGGTCGGTCAGAAACAGACATGTCAATGGTGCGCCTTTTATTACATCGCACAGGGTGTGGCCTGGTAAGAACGGATATAACTGGTCCACCACATACCGATCACATCAATGGGAGGAGACCACTTCTAGGGCAGAGCTTACCAACAGCTGACTTTTAAGAGCTGGCTGATGCAGTATATTCAATAGTGGATTCCGATCAACGCATGTGCGTTTAATAGATTCAAAACCGTGCAGAATAGATGTCCTACTTATTAACCCACATTTAAATATTGAGATCGACGTTGAGAGGAACGTATCGATCATTCAGCCAGCCATGGGAGATCAGGTCCCCTTATGCGTGGGCGGACCGACACATGGAGCACAACAGTTTGTCGATCGCGATCCATGAGGTCGAAGAAAGGGTGTCTTTGATCTCACTGTAGGTGGCTCGCGATAGGATGACGAGAAATAAAATAGGAAGCACTTCTAAAGTATTACAAGGCGTACCTCTAGATGATGCTTGGGACGAGAAATGCAGCTGTGTACCCACCTCTTAAGTACTGTGGAGTCATAGACGGTACTGATTGGCTTTCCATTACGTTCCGTACCGAGCCGCCCCTTAGCTCCTTATTGATCTAGACTCTGATTTGATAACGTCATTTGATCAGATACTGGGCGCGAATAGGGCGATTCGCGACATATTTCTTATTAATTAGTGAAGTACACTTGCCGTTTCCCAGTGTACGAAAGTCTCCATTATGGATGCGGCACTCTTGCTCCGTCAATCTTTGCTGGAACTACTTGCATCAGCTGACTGGATGCAATAACTCCCAGGATGTGATTGGTCCGCGCTTTGCCACTATCTGGATCAACTAGATGCAACTTGCAGCCAGCCACATTCCGATCGGTAGGATATAGGGTGGAGAAGAATACAATACGGCCCCCTTACCTGTCATGAGTGATAGAAATCTATCGGGTCCATGTAAGAACATATTTGGCTGAGGTTTCTCATCCTGCTCCACAGACTAAGACAATGGGATTTTTAAATGGCTATTACGACTATTGGTGGAACACAAACCCGTGGAGAGGAACCACTTTGTCTGCGTGACACAAAAATAAAATTAAGCTGTGTTTCAATACCAGAGCGGTTTGGCGACTCCGCGGAAAGACCATTGCCGTTCTTCGAAACTGTGAAACCTCGTAAGGTTCAACTGTTGCCCAACGAACTGGTCTGACCCGAGGGCTCAGAATAGAGCAGAGGTACCCATAACGTTACCTTCCAAGCAGGCTGAAATATTTCTTTTTCTAGCGACTTAGAGAGGTCGGGTGGTGAGGGGATTGAGAAAATACATACATTGTTGCTTACTAATAGAACTGAATCGTCGTAAGTCATAGATAGGATTGTATAGTTAAATTACCTTAGTCTGCTAACTAAGGGTTTACTAAGGACTAATTGACTAAGACAAACAAGACTACCATAGTAGGCCAAGAGCTAGAAAATGAACTACTATGTACACTTTGAGTGATTCTGTCCGGAAGGGTGCTAGTGATGGTTTTTACCCTGGTAGCTCGGCATTTTCATTTAATTTTCTTAGCGCTGGGGTAGTGGGAAATACGGTCAAGATATAGGAATCCGCAGATGAACCACTCTGAATATAGACCAAATGGTTAGTTAGGTTAAATGCAGTAAATAAGGAATCGTATGAGCTTACGTACCGGCCAAACGGCACTTCTTGTCCTCCGAATAGTCCGCAGCTTCGAAGAATTCTTTCATCTTCTCCTTGTCCGCCTTGTCAAAATTGTACTTGTACATAAGGTCGAAAAGTTCTTGCAGCGTGACGTTCCCTGATAATAAATTTGTTGTTAACCTTTGCAGTCTCCGACTTCGCATTTATTCCACTTACCGTCAAGGTTTTTGTCCTCCATGATTAATACTGTCAGTATGTATGAAACAAATTTTACCCAATCAAGGGATTGACCTACCGCAATGATGAACAAGGTAAACCATTGCTTGATCATTCCTGCAGAGTAATATATGTCCTGGTTCCTGGTCAGCGTCTGGAAGGGACAGGGAATATACACAGAGCAAATGATGCTGACCTTGGGAGTGTCTTCAAGGAGCTCTGCAATGGCCTCCGTCGCAATCTTGCCATTATTGATCTGCTCTTCGGTATACTGCGTTTTTACAGCTTGAGCAGTTTCTATCGGGGTCTTTGATTTTCCAACCCATTGTCGATAGGCGTAAGGTGATCTGGGGTAATATGTGTAAGATACTTTGCGGGATTCCAGGAAAGTGGAGCAGATAAGAGTGAGTGGAATGACCTCTGCCTTTTATAGTATCCTACCAGAGTCTGAGCCCAGAGATCTCAAAAGCTATTCTCATGAAAAGAGATGGGATATTCGCAGATTGCCCTGGATGAAAACCTGAAAGAAATCACAGCGTATTTACCTGTGAGTAAAAAGCTCACACATCCTCCAAACGAAATCTCATCCACGCCATCCCCGCAATTGCCCACTTGGTGAAGGATAATAAGCCGAAGGACCTTCCCGCATTCAAAGCGTTGATGATAACCGGCCTTGACTGCAAGAAGCACCCGAAGCCACCAAGCATGTGCTGGGAGTTAGAAGAGGCCCTTAACCAGAAGATCGAATCTTTCGACGAGGTTAAGCTTCTGAAGAACCTTGCTGGTCACCCTGAGGTTCTTCCAGACTACGCCACATTGTGTGCCAGAAAAGAGTTGCTTGAAGCTATAACTGGCTCTGATTGAATAGGTCGACTGTAGCCATGATTCAGCGTTGCAACTAGACATCCACGTGGGTGAATTTGATGAAAGGAGTGATGGATTCTTTCGGGGTCACTTGATGTTTTTGTTTTTCTATCTCGGGCTTATTCCCTCTAAAACAACTGAGAAAGACAACTCTTGGCGAATTTTTTTTTGGACATATCTAGACGCTTTTTCTGAACCTATAGGGGTCTCAAAGCATATAAAGTATTCCAGTATCCTCAAAAAGATCTGGAAAAAACTTCTACTGGGGGAGAGGAAGCAATTCCTGCCTCTCCCCAACATTAGCTTGGTCTATCCAAGGGTCCCGTGACCACATCTCAGTCCCTACTCTCCAGTAAGTCCCTACTCCCAGGTAAGTCTTTACTCGCTGGTAAGTCCTTATTGTCCCGAGATCTGAGATTCTGGCCCAATACCCTGAGACCTACAGCGTGGATCTCGCAAAATTCATGGTTCGATCGTTGGACACCGACAACTGGCCTGAATACAGTATTGTGAGCGGCTCAGACATTACCTTCAATGAGGTAATTGCCATCGCCGAGAGAGTCGGAGGTGCGTTGGATGAATGCTAGGCTGATAAATCAAGTACTTGCTAACATGACGTAGCCTCCAAGTTTCACGTGATTCATGATGACGAAGAAAAGCTCCAAAAGAATGAGGCTACCCTCTTATCGCCGGATGGTATTTCGTCGTAGTTCGGGTGATTCTATTAAAACCGGCCATACATAGGCCGCACAATAATGAACCAATTTATTAGTTCTATACCAACGTGTTAGACTATTCATGGGACTTGTCCAGTATAATCAAATAAAGAGTCACCAAAGTCTGAGTAGTAAACACAAGCACAATATGCGATTGATCACGTAGAACTAAACTAAGTACTGTACATGAGGGAGTGTCCTTATATATCTTTCGTCTCTACTCCTAGGTCTGCCCACTGGGGGTAGCTTCCGGAGTAGCTGGTGACTCCCCGTATACTCTCAAAGATTAGGTACTGGAGTCTCGGTCACGTGGTGCTTTACCGTCAACTAGCGTTGTGGTGTAAGCGCATAGTTCATGTTCGTACTAAATGCATTGTTGAAAAATGTTCAACCATGATGATGGGGTTCATCCGGGACACTCGAACCAAAAAAGCCATTGGCTCTAAGATGGAATGCAAGTGGCCATTAGAAAGCATCAAAAAGGATCTCAAAGCCCTCTGGAAAAGCACAGGGAATAATTTTGTGATGATACTTTACGGTTGATTGGCTCCATAATTTGCTTTACACTTGGCATCTGACATAATGAACCGCTCTGCTATTCCGCCGTCGAGAGATATCTGATGAACAATTCATTAGGTAGTTCATGATGATTAAATTCCAGTGGTGTGAAACTCCCACATATTGCTATCTCCGAGATTTTTACTTGCCCTCCCGCATCTCCACCTTAGCGAACTTGTGGAGCCCTTTCACGAACTGAATATATCTAAGGCATGGAACATCGGGAAAGACTCTAGAGGTGTTGTCAGTTCTTTTCTTTGGTGCAAAATAAATAGAGCTCACTTTATCTCCGCATACTTCATATACCACGGAGGATATCCATTCAAGCAGCACTGCGGCCCGAAAACAAAGATGAGGTCGGGAGCACATCCATACAAGTTATCCAGCTCCTTGGTAATTGCTTCAGAGCTAAGAACTTCCTCTGGCACCGTACCCTCTTCATTCAAACTCTGCAATCGTTGTGCAAGTTTGACGATAGCCTCCTGGCCATCGGAATGGTTCAGAATGCGAATATTGAGACATTTAGATTGATCAGTGTCCGGCTCACTGGACTCCAGAACGGAACTCAGTGTGGATATCTTTATACACGGTGGTGTCTGAATACTTGACGATCGAATCTTGCGAACGAGCGAATAGAGTATGTCCCATTGAACGTCGGCTGAGGTAGCTATACCGCGTCATGATTAGATTTTAAAAGGCCTTATGCAAATTGGTGGGGCTAAACTTACCTGATCTGTGATAAATAGTGAAGGTCCAAATGTGAGAGCACATGGACCAGTAACAAAGACTCACAACATCTTCGACAGCCTTCTCACGTAGGCTCTTGTCGACATTACTCAGACCGTGACTCTGGGGCAGAATTATGGACAAGTGGCTGGGTCGCTTGGTAGGAAGCGATTTATTAAGATTGTACTCCAGTAAGCTGTCCCGGTAGATCAATCCATCCAGCATTATTGAGCAGAATTCACGCAAGCTCGCTAAGAATGCAAACACCTGGAACAAGACTTCAAGAGCTTGATTCGCCCCCCAGCACAAAATCGCAATAAGAGGAATATAGGCTCTCCATGGGTCGTGTTGTTTCATATTTGGCATGTTGCCTTCTGAGTTGAGCTTCAGTTCGAATTTGTCTATAATGTGATAAGGTAAGAACAAGCAGAAGATCGTATCAAGTAATAGTAAAACTCTCCAATCTGTGCGAATGTAGGCGGGCTTAAACAGCCGATAAAATTCTTCAAATCTCTCTAGAATAGGGTTAAATCAGACTTAAACTATATTATAAGAGGTAAGAGACATTCGCGGATAGTGAGCCGGGCAAGTAGCGGTGAGTATGTCGGGGCATCCTTGCAGACGGGAATATCCATGATATCAGCTTGCGACTTAAGGAACTCAGTTATGTTGAATTGGATGAAGCACTCCCCAACCCAAACCAACTAAAGTGTATCAGGCGTTAACCATACAAGCGTTAGCCATAACCATGACCCAACAAGATATGCCGAGACGTGCGCCGATGCATTTGAATGGAATGGCCTTCGAGAATGCGAACAAATGGCTCGTGCTTCACTGGTTCGTATCTAATGCACAACCCCGCCCCGCCCCTGCCCTGGCACTTAGCAGGTTCTGGCATCGTACAGTGCAGCACCTAGAATTGCATCTGTGCATAATCCATTCCTAGATCGACTACTAACACATCCCCGAGAACTATGTGGGTGTCTGATGTAGACTTAGAGATCGGATGTGAGCGGAGACAGAAGAGGCGGTGAGCGCAGGAATTTGGTCCTTTTTGGAAAGTTCACATTGTACGGTGGATGTTTTTATCTTGATTAAGCCCGCTGGGATTCTCCCTGTCAGGCCTATCGCCTTATCTTGCATTATTGGGGATCACACAGGGAAGTATGGCGCTGCTTCTTGTGCTTTTTGCAGAATGTTTATGTTGTGTTTAATGGCACAAATAATTGACCTATATTGTAAGGGAACCAGACTGGTAATATCAAACTCTCTAACTACCTGAAAACTGTGAAATTGACAATTTTGTAGGATATGCTGAGAAAAAGGTAATGTGCACTTTTATCTGAGGTGTCTTATATTGATATCGTAAGGTATTCTGGGTAAATACCCTAAAATCCACATGCAGATCCACCGTATTTTTCACATTTAAGTCTATATGTTCTTGCTCTCGTGCTCTTATACGAAGGAAGTATTAGGTTTTGTACCATATATGCAATATTTACACTGGATATAATTATAACATAATTATAGAATGTAGAATAAATGTATGTCAAGCTCGCATAGATGTCCCAAGTGAAAAGGCTAACCACATCAGGATAGATTTCACACCCAACCCTGAGATACACATCCAAGATGTGCGCCCCACTGCAGATCTTTAGTCTCAATTTTGGGAAATGATAGGTCCAAATTTTCGAATCATTTCACGTGTCAGATCGATCAACCTTGCGATTAGGTAACCGCCGATTGTAAAAAGAGCAGAGCCCTCCTCTATTTTTTTTTCCGGACCTTGTCTTCTTGTTACTACCTCGGCATTCGTCTTTAGCTCGCAGTTATCATATCCAGGGTCCCTAAACCCACCGAATATGTACATCTTCCTCGTCACAATGGCTATAATATCTCAGTATCTTGAACGAGCATTACTGGCCACCCTTAGCTATGGCGAGGTGCCAAAGCACATCGCGATGATCATGGATGGCAATCGAAGATATGCCCGTACACATAACATGCCAATCAAAGAAGGTCACCTCAAGGGGTTTGCAAATGCAGCAAATGTTGGTGCTTTTACACCGAGTGCAAAATTGAGAACGCATTGACTTATGCAAGACCGCTAGATAATCGAAGACTTATATCAGCTGGGAGTCTCAACTGTGTCATTTTTCATGTTCGGAGTGGATAACTTCAAGCGTGATCCTAACGAAATTGAGGATATTATGAAGATTATTAATGATGAGGTTGGCAAGTGGGTTGCGCCCGGAGGGCTAGCGCATCGTTTGGAGGTGTGTTTGAGCCATTGTGGTGAGCGAAACATGCTGGAACCGGATCTGCTGGGCGTTCTGGATTATGCGATGGATATCACCAAAAATTATAGAAGGTATGCCGCGAAACGCCCCTTTCAAGGGAGATATTATGATTTGACAATTCAGCAGGGTCAAAGTGAATCTATGCATAGCATACAGCGGGCGACGAGAAATTGTCCGAGGGATTAGGTCAACAGCTCGCAATCAGCCTGTATCATTCAGATACTCATCTATCAACGAAAGTACGGGCATCGAGCACGACGAGAAGACAGTCTTGAAACCTATGATGGTGCTTGTAGAGCCAAGTATAAACGGGTTGAAGACAAACATCATTTCTCACAGGACAAAAGACCTCTCTCTCGAAGCGACTCGAAGGATTCTCACACACAACCTTTGGACTAAAGACGACCCTTCGCCAGATATTATTATTCGAACCTCGGGGGAAACTCGGCTTAGCGACTACATGCTATGGCAATGTTGCGAGAATGCCCAACTTAATTTCATAAACTGCTTCTGGCCCGAAATTCGCGTCTGGCATTTAGCACGTATCGTGATGGGCTGGCGAATGCGGAGGACCTTTTGAGAAAATGGTGAAATTGTCAACCCTCTCGCTTTCATGTCAGAACCTCGAGTTGCTCTCTCCGAAATGAACGCCCTTTCATGAAACGCTAGAGAACATTCACATATTTGCCAATATTTTGAAGTACTGTCAGAAGGATTTATAGTATTCATCCTCGAGGAGCCTGGGGTGTAAATTAGTAATTGACACTCAGCTCCTCACAGTCCGTCTGCATACATTATGTAGACAACAGTAAGTTAGGCAAATGACATCCCTGAATCCTTGGCTCATTTCCTATTTCAATTGTTCACTTTCTCTTAAAGCACATGCAGCAAGAAGATCTCGCAGATCTCAGGCTCTTTGCGAAATTACTCTCTCTTGTACTCTCCAGATATTGGAAATTTGACCATGATGCGGGGTCTGACCTCATAGAACCAGGAGATTATTCCTTTCCAGATCCAGTGGGCTCCGGGAAATTGTTGTTTGGATATCTATGTCACCAATACTCTGCGAAAAAAAATGCGAGCCTAGAAGAGAGTTTGGTTTAATGCATATGTTGATTGCAGACCAGCATCTTCCTAAAGTATAGGAGAGTGTGACCACACCCCTCCTCGTAGTGGACAGGCGTGTTTACTTAATACAACCTTTCATAATGGATAAAACTAAATCAAACCCGGCACCCCCAAATAAAGTGATTATGTCGGTGGAATGGTTGGAACAAGTCGCCCGGGAGGAAGAACGGATGAACGATCTTTCTCAAGCCGTCGCTTTCCTCGAATTGAGGAACCTCTCCAATTGGGATCCGCGGCCGAATAAATATCCTGATTAACGGAAACCAAGTAAGAATGTCCAACTTCGTGTGTGTTGTGGAGCTAGGGCAGAGCTCGTGACTTTAAGGGAATTCTGTATAAGAATCCTCAACAGTAACGATACGAACCAAGGAAGACCTGGAACCTATGGCTCCCTATACTGTCTAATATAGGATAAAAGGTCTGAAGTTTTATTCCCTTTCCCCGCGCTGTAGTATACGATGGTTATTTTTATGTCGGCATCAGGACAGACTCAAGCCAACAAATTATTAGAGTAACCCCTAGAATTAATTGTATTCTAGATACACTTCGATTCTAACATCTGCGGATAATAGAGAAACACTGAAGGAGAAATCATCGAGAGATTATCAGGTCTGTGGCAGAGGAAATGGAATTTGTTAATCACACTGATCGACTCTTTGCCCACAATTTTCTGTTCGGGACAAAAAAGAAGTGGGGAAAAACATCTGCCAACCCCTCCCAAGACCCTTTGTGAGCAAACCCCAAGCTTGCTATCTCTTTTTTTCCCTTTAAAGGCATAAGAAAATAATAATGTCCATCTCTAAAGCCCTCGTCTTCGACATCGGAGATGTTCTCTACGGCTGGGAAGCGCCTCCACTCGGGACGACCAACATCCCACCAAAAATGCTGCTAGCCATGATCGCAACTCCAATCTGGGCCGACCATGACATCGGCAAGTTCAATGAGGCCGTCTGCTTCGCCAAGCTTGCTGAAGAATTTGATCGAAGTCCCGCTGAGGTCGATCTCGCCTTTGCTATGATTCGCGATGGGCTCCAGTTGAACAAAGCCTTGGCCGATCTCCTCCGGTCACTTAAAACAAATCCGAATGTACAGGCCTTATATATCATGTCTAACATCTCGCAAGAGTTATTCACTCACTTGAGAACAAGAGATGACGGGATGGATTGGAATCTGTTCAAGGAGAGTTTTGTTTCGGGAGAGGCGGGGTTGCGAAAGCCAGATGCTGCGTTCTATACACTTGTCCTGCAAAGGATTGGGCTTCCGGCTGAGAATATATTCTTTGTCGATGATAAGGCAAATAATGTGGATGCGGCTCGGGCATTGGGAATCCAAGGCGCGGTTTACACGATTATGGAGAAGTTGGAACACGCCATTCGAGACTTTTTGGGGTAATATGAGAGAACTACGCCAGTCGTAATGCTGCTATATATAATTTGCTGCTATTAGGACTTTATCAAATATAAAATCTCCCTTTATGCCATTCTTTTCCCTCTATCACCCGTGACCTAAAGTCATCTTTTATTGTGCAAAACTTTCACAGCTAGTACCATTATTAGCCCACTATCTAACTATATGACATTGCTGATATTGTCTATCAATTTTAGATCATAGTCAAAGCTTCTTACTAATATCGCATCTAACTTGAGGTTGATAGGAAGTAGTCTTGAAGGTATGTTGGAATGCTATGTCGGTAATCTGCCAAGAATTTATGACTCGAGGATGAGTAGATAGCTTTAAGACTCGAATGAGTGGATATCGGATTCAAAGAGAGTACAATCTCTACGGGGAAGCTTTACGCAGGACAGAAGACATAGCTTCTAGAACGTTCTACAGACCAGATACACAAGCAGCTTGCCACTTGACAGGAGAACTTACTCTCCTGTGACAGGAATCAGGAAAGCATAACCACGGATCGGGATTTAGCCTACCATTCTGTTGCCAGAATTGCGCGTGATATTCCAAATCCTCACCTGCCTGGACCGTACCTCGACCGTACCTTCTACGCAACAAAGTCCTTTTCCATCGGACACTGACGGCCGTCAAGGTTGGGCTTGTGGATCGTGTCCGGACCTTTGCAAATCCTTCATTTCTTCTCCGGGCCATAAATAGAACGTCCTTGATCTACTGTCCCGTGGGTCGTCGCTGGGATCTGCATCGCAGAACCGTACTTGCGTCTGTCTAAATTCACGCGTGGTGTTTGATTGGTCCGACTCGTGCTTCTTGTGCCCAAGGCCTCATCAGAATGTGATAGTAGCGTTGCAATCTCGCGAGGGGGTGGCGATCACGAGAACCCAGCTCGTGGGCCTGGTTGCACATTTTACATGGTTGTCCTAGGCTCGGTTTCCTATGGAGGCTTCCCAATAAGCTCTGGACTTTTGGTTATGCCCTCCCGAAGAAGGACAATCCTCATCCTGAGCTTGAGAGTATGTCAATATCTGTGCGGCCAGGGAGGAAAGATTCTAGTAAAAGCAACATTAGCTGGCTGCGAGTAGACAGGGAAGAAACAACATTCAGCGGCGCGGGGCCAAGAATGAACAGGATTGATTCGAGCGAGACCAAAGGATCCTCCAGCCAACCGCAGGTTCGTTCAGCGTTTCTGTCGGCACAGAGTCTTCAACCTATTATTTCGGCATCTGTTGAGGCACTTCAACCCTCATGAAAGAGACGGTGACCGTGGCTAAAACAGGCAGATGTAGGGTGCCACCGCGTTGAGCGATTTAATTGCAAACTCAACAATATGTAGGAATCACATTTTTGCGGCGTTGCTTTCTTTCAACAGTTGATGAAAGTGATTCACCATACTCAACGCAAGATTTGAGAGAAATGATCCCAGGTCGAAACTTGAGTCTATAGGCCACAAATTGTCCAAACACCGTTTCAACGTCGTTCAACGTGCTTCAACGCCAATCAAAGGACAGTGACTCTCGCTACCCTGGGCGCAATGGTTCCATGGTAGAGACTTGACCGAAAAATTATAAAAGGGGCCGGATTCCCAGCCCAAAATTCGCAGGACTTCCATCCTCACACTTTGGTCCTCACACTTTGATGCATCATAGTGTCCCTCTCTTTCCTGCGGGCTTGAGAGCTTCCGTGACCACGGCTGTCGCTGCCACGAGCCCAGCGATGTAAGACTGTGCTCCCTCGCTGCCATGAGCCCCGCGAGTGTAGAAAGGTGCTTCGCAGGATAGGTCTGCGTCAACAATAATCCTCGCAGGGAGGTGCTGCGAAAACAAGACTACCTCGCAGGATAGGTCTGCGTCAACAATAATCCTCGCAGGGAGGTGCTGCGAAAACAAGACTACCTCGCAGGATAGGTCTGCGTCAACAATAATCCTCGCAGGGGGGTGCTGCGAAAACAAGACTACCTCGCAGGATGGGCTCTGCGTGATCAAGTGTGCCTCGCAGGATGGGCTCTGCGAAACCAAGGACTCCAGGCCTTCCGTGACCACGGCTGTCGCTGCCACGAGCCCAGCGATGTAAGATTTGCGCTCCCTCACAGCCAATCAGCCCTGTGACTGTAAAATTGTGCTCAGTCATGCAAAACTTGGCTCGCCAATGACTTGCTATGGCTCCCTAGCAATGTGCAGGCACCTCTCCGTGGTGCTGGGGACCAGTATTCGAGTATTCGAGAGTATTCGAAGAAGCAAAGACCTGCCCAACATCTTCCTCGTCTGTTTTGTATTCCGAAGGATCAGTATCGGATAGATAGAATGAGCCCTAGATAGATCATCCCAAATTTAATGCAGAAAATTATAAATTACAACTGAAGTGTCCTTGTTACCGAAGGGCGTATTCCCAATTGCTCTGCATTGATAGTTTGCGGTCCGATAGTCCCTTCGCCGTAATGGAGTTGGCACTCCCATTCTGGCGTTTGCTCTACCAGTGTTGGCGAGTGTTGATTATTAAGTGATGCTTCAGTGTTCATGTTATTGAGGGGAGTTGATTGTGTGTTGTGTTGCATGTTATCTAAGATACAAGCAGGCTGATGAACAGGTATATATGTATGCACGTGATCACAGCCTCATTATCATCTCAGTAACCGGGATATTTCAACAGTGAGTGTTGGTGAGTGTTGGTGAGTGTTGATGTGTGTTGATGAGAGTTGGTGAGAGATGGTGAGAGTTGGTGAGTGTTGATGTATGTTGAAGAGAGTTGGTGAGAGATGGTGAGAGTTGGTGTTGGTGTGTTGTTGCTCAGTGTTGATGTCGATGTGGTGAAATGTGTGTACCGAAACATCACTGTTATGAACGGTCGGGCGGTGAAGGGAGGGGTGGTCAACGCCTCATGGAGGCAGCGCGGTTTCTTGCCATGTCACCCACATCATAGAAACTTCAATTGCTTTTTTTTGATTCTGCAAAGCAATTTTGATCCCTGTTGGTCACGCCTTGACTACGGCCTCCAACTAATTGTGCAACTCTGGTCACGCAATATACTGTACACTCAAGATCAGAACTACGAAGTGTAGAGCCTTGTGATATGTCTCGAAAATCCGAATCATGGGTTCAATTCAAGATGATTATGCGGTAGGCTCAGTTTCTTGCGTCGCCAAAGAAATTGCTTGAGATGACTATTGCTAGTCACTCGAACCTATTCTACACTAGAATGCCTACATTATAGAGCGATTGCGAGAGTGAGAGTTTCTTTCTCTCGAGGTTAACATGTCATTGGTAGCTTTGGCTCGGGAATATCTGATTCGCTCCTACAGGTAGGAGCCGTCGCAAATTTGTGAATAATTCCCCGTCAGTACTTCCGATTCATAGTTCACCCAATCTCTCGTAAAAGTCCACTACAGCGATTAAGAAACAGTCGTTTTTTTCTGTGGTGCCTATTCCCGAGTCATGCAATACAGCATGCTCCGCTGCTGATATAGCATGATTGAAGTCCGGTCGATTTCCAACTAGCCCTCCGGGACCAGAACTGGTAAAAACACTCTCCACGATCGCCGCTCGGGACCTGGTGATATTTGTACAGGGGTGTTCTCATCCGCCTGTGACCCTAGCAGGCATCCGCTCAAATCCTCCCCAAGCAAATGTAACATGAGCGCTTATTGGGGTAGATAATTCGTATAGGCTGTACGGGACATTCAGAGGTCCTACAACCCGAGGGCTCTCGTGGTGCTGTTACAGACATCAAACCCACCCTTCACGATGAATTGCTCAATAGTGATATGCCAGATATCGTCTTGGGCGCGGAGAAATACATCATAGATGGTCAAAGCACAGTGAGCTCAGAGACGTAGAGGAATCGGTGATTTGCTGGTAAGACCTGCTTGCGCCTCCAATTGCGATATGTTAGACGACGGTCTCAATGGACGAAGGATACTGGATAACTTGACTGACCTCCAGCTGCTGTGACATTCAAGGTGTATGGGCTTTGCACGTAGTGCTCGGGCTTGGATAGAAAAACACAGGCTTAGGAATCAAATCACCAAGCTTCTGTCTAACAGGGAAAAGACAAACAATCCTGATAGCATGCAGCTCCGTGTATGTCCGAGTGGTTCCCGCTCGCTCGTACATGTCGACAAGCTCGGCAACGCGGAGAGTAAGAGGGATCAGGGGGACTCTATCAGACGGGGTTCTTGGGTCATGAGTTCTCTCTTTCGTTTGGCCGTCCTCGGTCTTGTCCATCGATTCGAAGCTGACATGGCTATTGTTAGTTGATTCGGCTAGAGATGACGGGACTCGCCTTACATTCTCTTTGCAAGCAGACTCGACCCGTGTACGAAAATACGCTTTAGCAAGACGAAACATCGGCTCCTCCCGGTGTCTTCAGATTTTCAGGCTCGAAAGACGCTAAACGCCATCAGAGGACAACGATGGTCACACCAATGGACGCCAGGGATCCAAGCCGGTAGGCTGACCCTGTGGACACCGCTATGAGCTCCTTTGGGCCTTGCATAGGGTAGGCATACCAAGGCATGATTTGATGAACCCAGTCGACTGGGCGAAATTCGAGGCAGCGACTCGTCGATGCCACCAGTAGTCATGTGGAAAAACAGAGCCAACCATGGTATTGGTGTAGGGAAGTTCGAGCAGACAAGATATTTGCTCGCTTCACATTCGAGTCATGGGAATCTGAGGGTTCCTTCCTATGGTGAGACCCGAGTCAGCAAGCGTTGATCCAGTTGGACAAGGTGTTGTACTTCACGCCGTTCATGAAGAATCCGACCGTATGCTTGAGACCGATGGTCAATTAGGATCGTCATCATACCAGCTTATCAACTAGACCACTGCCAATTCTCTTCGGCAATGCAGGCACCAATATGCCATGTTGACATGATGTTGTATCCAGGTTCGTCGCACTCTCTGGCTGTCGCTTCGAAAAGCCGCGATGGATGAACCGACAAGTTCACAGGACGGCAAAGGTGCATGACGAACTCACGTGTGACAAGAAATTGTACAGTCGTATTGGGAAACTGCTGCTCGTAGGCGGCGAGAGGTTGAGGCACTCCGCCGTTCAGTGTGAAGGCGGTGAGGTGGGGGAAGACGCGATGGCGCGTCGGCCCCTTGGTCTTGTCTGACTCGGCCGGAATAGGTAACTCGACACAAGACTTTCGCGGTTGGCGATGGGCTGCTCCTACAACGGCAAAGAGATGTCAGCAGTGTTTGTGTTTTGAGGCACAGACTTAGCACATATTATCGGACCCGGCGCAGCAGAAGGAGCGATATTCCACATACCTCATCGTGGACAACGAACGTCTGAAGCTTATGCGTCCTGTCGTTGGCCCGCGCCTTCGATTTGCAGTATTTCACATAGGACATGCTGCATGATTTGATGTGGCAGGGCCAGAAATGGTGTGTAAGCCATGACTTTGCCCGGAGCTCTGACGGCGCCGCTGGTTCGCACTCACATTAGGGCGCTGTCAACGGTCTCCTGTCCATCATTAGCTTGTCGATCGGCGAGACGTGTAGAACTCACATGTTCTGAAAGAAGACACGGGAAAGGGCTCCGTGGCTTTGCGCGTGCATTGGATGGAATGCAAGGATCCGGTTATTTCGCATCGTCTTTGAAGTCAGTCCAGTCTCGGAATAGGTCGCGCTGAAATCTACATATCTGAATAGAAATCCCTTTTTTGCATCGATATATTCAGGGGCGGGACAGTGATCCGCTGCTATGATGGACAGATATTCGCATACTTTGACCAGCTAACCCAAATCTGCTTCTTTGATCGGCTGGTATAGGTGGCATAGTGGATCTGGTGGGAATCACTTTCTCACAAGCCCTTTCTAGCTTGTCGGCCCACGACGTATCCATAGGTGTCAGTATGGTGGAAATTCCAGTAGGGTTGAAGGGAAGAACTTATCAGGTGCCTCAAACCGAGGGCCTGCTCGACTTTGCGCAGCAAGTGACAGTGTTGTAGAACAAATTGCTGGGGGGAGAGGGCGAATTTATAGGTTTCTCGGCTCCCGTCGCGTACGTGCTCTATTATAGAGCAAACGTTCAAGGACACGACGCTATCCTAAGTGAGGTCTGTTGCAATTCATGCCTTCGTTCTACCGCAACTATTTGCAGCGAAATTTTTGGTGTCATGTTAGATGCCCACCGAGAAAAAATGCTAGGGTCATGTTGAGAATGAGTCAGTGAGTCGGTTAAGAAACGTTGGCTCACGGTTGAACCTACGGTCTTAATATTGAGGCAATGGAAGCTGTTCATTCTTTGATTTTACCAAGAGCGCTCACATTTTCATCTAAGGAACATGGAAATTTTCTGGCCTCGCTCGAGTGTTGATTGTCTGAGCTGTGTGGTGTTCTGTCCGTCTAAGCTGCGGAAAGCGTCAGGCCGCGGTCGCGCGGGCGCGGGTACTCAACCCGTCAACCCATTGAAGCTTGGCCGTCCTTGATGACGGGGAGTCAACTTTTGAACTTATGACCGGTGTTGAAATACGTTGTTCTTTGAGTCTCTTTTTCAATCCTCTGAATTTTAGTCTGTTTACTTTTGGATTTCTGAGCTCTTTAACAAATGTGAAAATTGCGTTGTGATTGAATATATATCTCCTGGACCGTTCATCACCAGTAAGCCACTAATATGAGGCACATTCACCAATCATCAACACCACGAGATTCACACCAGTACCATCATTAAACGGACTGCTAACAGAGCCCCGAAAAATCTTTGGGTTCTAGGCAAAGTCAGACTGTGTTGATTGACTTTCATGGTGAAAGTGAGAATGAGTAACCACCTACGTCTGCTAGTCTATAAAATCCTCCAAGAATTGTTGGACATGCTATTGCCCAGACACTCGCCTTTTCCCTACGATCAAGATGGATGCCCCTAACAGTTCGCCAGACCAGGAAAGAGAAGGAGAACAGCAGCCCAGTGAATTGCCATCCCTTTGTGAAAAAGACAATTCGCAGGAAGCTTCTGATCATGCGCCAATGGGGACCCCCAAAACACCTTCACCAACCCTGCTCACAAATTTACGTCATTGGACCACTCCCAGAAGGCACACCTACGCCTCCAGGAATCAACAAGTTGTCAAACAGGAACGCGGCTTTGATTCCCCGAGGTGGGGATAGCAGACCCCAGAAGCTACATCGGGTTTCCCGGGGGCTACGTGGCTCCTAGAAGCAGCTTCTTTGCTCCCAGAAACGTTTCAGAGGTCCCTGGGAGCAAGAGAACTCCCAGGGCCAAGGCTTGTGCTCCTAGCACTGATAGAACCGTCAACAGGAGCGTGACCGGTTTCTTGATAGTGATGATGGAGATGTGCATGTTTGTCTCTAGATACTACTATGGATATCTATCTACTGTTTATACGGACAGAGATAGAAATGCGCATCAACAAGGAGAATCTCACTTTTCCCTAGACTTCAGCCGTGAAAGACATCAAGCCCAAGCAAATTGATATCAGACGCGTCAGGCATAGTAAATCTAGTTCCCCCTGATTTCTGGAGGCAGTAATGAGACGGCGTCTGAGATAAAAGACCTGCTATCTGTAGAGGATTACCGAGCACGGCGAAGCAGAAATACTTACTCTAGTTAAGTTCAAGGTAAAAGAGAATCATGCTCCTACTCATTCATATGAGAACAAGAGCGAGTTAGAACAGTATCTGCGACCTTAGGAGCTTCAAATCTTCCGAGGACCACAAAGCAGCCATGGAGGACATCGCAGGCTCAGCTGGACTAGGCTGGACTAGACGCAATCACGCCGTTCTGAAACTCCCTGTTTATGCACTATAGCGTAGATTGGTTGCTTTCAACATCACTTTTTCACTCCTAAATCTGACATGGATTATGTACATGGCTTGGTCGAGCGGCAAATTGAGGAAATGATAATTTACCCAGGAACAAATGCGGCCCTGGCCCTTAAGCGCATCTAATTGGAATTGCGAGGTATTCTTTGCTCTGCCTTTTGACTAGCTTTTAGAACATCACAGGTCCTGGGTGTCATCAACCAAGGACAAACAACGGTGGCTAAACGAATGCATGGCTTCAACAGGCCTCAATTAGGACAGGCACCCATGCCTTCCTTTTCAAAGTTCCCTATTTCCTGCTCTACAGGCCTGGGTGTCGGGTACGGATTTCCACTGACGTACATTTTAGTTTGTTGCCAGAATAGCAACACCACTAAGTTCTAGACTGGGTCAGAATATGGAATCTGTATATGAGGTGTCTCGATCTGCTGAAGGACACATACTGTAACCCATCATTAGCAAGAAAGACAATGGTCTTTGACCGAAATTCGCCACGCGTAATTCTATAACAGTCGGGCCAGGGTCACGTCGACCAAATTTACAAGCTGACCAGAAGGCTAGGGAGAACCGGAAACCGGATCAACATTCGTTGGATCCCTACTAGTGAAGAGAACAAATTGTTGGGCCTAGCGAAAGAGCCAGGACCGCGACCCAAGCGGATGCTCTCCTCCAAGCACGAGTTCCTAGGATGAAGTCAACAACCCTGAACATCGCACAGTCACATGTAGCCACTGGGAAAGGCTTGCCAGAGAACGTTGGGAAACACGTCAAACGAGTGGATGCAGCACTTCCAGGAAAACACACTCGACAGCTGTCTGATCGCCTATCGTGGAAAGAAGCAAGCGTGCTGGCTCAACTCCGGACTGGCATGGCAAGACTCAATGGATATCTCTATTGAATCAACGCGGCAGAGACGGATCAGTGTGCATGTGAACAAGCGAAAGAGACCATGGAGCACTTCCTTTTTCGATGTCGGAAGTGGACTGCGCACCGAACGGAACTGCTACAGTGTACCAACACCCACCGAGGAAACCTGCCCTTCTTCCTGGGAGGGAAATCGCCGTCTGATGATCTGAAGTGGACGCCAAACTTAGAAGCGGTACGGGCCTCAATACGATTCGCCATCGCGACGGGCCGACTCGAGGCCACTTAACCATGCCAACGAACATAAATCACCCCTTTTTCCGATCTAACTCACCAACTACCTCGTGCTACAGATGGTAGATGCGCTTCAACTGCCGAAGATAGGATGTTGAACACTTGGAGAAGCGCCTTCAAGCCAGCCTACTAACAAAATTACTAACCCACGAGGTTCCGCTGCGACACTGTTTGCTTGAAATGACATATATGGCAAGGTTTTATGTATGGGCTCTAAGGAGACACAGTACTGTATATATTATGACATGTATAGTAGATCAGAGATAGTTGCCCTTCCGGCTTAGCCGCCGGGCGTTAATAGATTGTTTGTGTGTGTATACCAATAGCATCGGGTCGCCAGAATTTCAACGTGTTTTAAGAAGAAATGAGAGGTGGCAGAAGATTCAACAGGCCAAGAGAAGGAAATCGGTGGCGTGGAAAAGAATAAAACAAAATAACCCGGAGTGCAGAGGAGATTTTGCATGCGGCTACAACATACAGCATATTCTAGGGGGGAACAGCATCATGAGAATTGTCCGCGGCCCCGGCACTCCCTAAAGTGAGACTTGTTAAAGTCCGGTATTGCCCATCTCTCCATCCACTCGCATTTTACAATATCCTGCGCAGTTGGCCGCTTTTCCGGCTCAAAAGACAGCATCGACCGCAACATATTCATAACAGCAGCTTTCTCTTCTAAGTCAAAACCTTGGATTCCAGCCTGTTGTCGCGGGAGTTGAATGTGCTTTTCAAAGCGGTCTTCCCAAGACCTCACATGTCGACCTTGATTTGGTTTTCCACTTTCATCGAAATATTTGTGGCGCGCCGCCCATTTCTCCCACCACCGTAAAGGTAAGTTCCCCCGAGTATCAATCTGCTCGGCTGTGATATCGTCCGGCGTGGCAAGTATGTCCTCAAATAAGGGGCGCTGGCCGAGTATTATCCAGATGGAACATGCGAGTGTCCAAATATCAGCTGAAAAAGAAAGACCACATTCTGACTCAAATCGGGCTTCAGGAGGCACAAAGGACATAGGGGCGTGCGAGTTATATCGGTACTCTGTAGAGGGTCTGTATGCCTCTCCAAAATCACTGAGCAGGACTCTAGATTCTGGAAGGGAGAATTCCTCTGAAGCTTTCCCAAGCCAGATAGGAGGGACGACGCTAGACGGAACACTAGACTCAAGGGGCTGACCATCAAAACGAATAACTGGTTCTGACACGGGCGAACCGTATTTTTCGTATAACTCTTCGATTGAGAGCTGATCAAAATCGGCTGGGAGACATAAAAGAATATTGCCGATGTGAAGGTCTGATGTAGCTGTTGTATAAGCATATGGTTGTAAAGCTATAAAGAATGGTGACTAACCTCCATGAACAACTCCTTTCCTGTGGATGTACTCAACGGCTAGCAAAAGTTGCACAATCAGCGAGCGAGCGGTCATGGCCTGAAAGATGCGTTTGTATGACCCTTCCTTCGCACTAGAGACACTACACATTGCTAAAGTTGTCACATAGCAAGGGTGGGTGCCGTTAGGGCCATGGAGGACGAATCTATCTTTGATAGTGGGTATCATTGTCCTCCCCGGGTGATCAAGTGGGGAACAGTGGTTGAGATAATTGAGGACATCAACCTCACGATCATTTGAATCCGCCGTTCCAACTTTGACTGCCACGTATGTATTAGACTGGTAGTCCCGGCAGAGCCAAGTGGTTGAATAGGCTCCGTAGCCTAGCTTGTGGGCGACTCGGTATCGGGATTGAAGAATATCTCCTATCAGAATAGGGTGATATCCACCAGGCTGGTACTTTTCAAGTCTCTCGACTTCTTCTATCGGTACATATTTGAAGGGGAGTGGACCAGAGTCAGCACTGGACGAGAAGTTCTTGAAAGCCATAAATGACTTGCATGCGAGTCCACCAACAGAAATTTTCCAAGAACAAGGATAGCAGAGCAACGAGGAAGATGTTGGGTGAATGAACATCCGATATATAGAGCTTCGTTGACGAGCCCAAAGTGAATTTCGTGACCTGATCACGAAGGCCATTACCGGACGACGTGAGTTAAGTAAATGATTAGGCGGTGAAAGTCCGATTAATTATGCCCGCCACAAGGTCATCTTTGAAAAGGATAGTTTTCCTGTAGCTTGACGTATTGGTTGCTTGGTAGATGATAAGTTGACGTCTAGAGCGCACAGACCCGCCTGAGTTGTCTTAGTCAGTCGCTGTAGCGACCGCGCGGACGAGGCGGCTAGGGAAATCGCGGAATGTTTCAGATTCTAGTGGAGCAACGCCACTAAGCCACAATTCCTAAAGGAGGGCACAACTTCTACTAGATGACCCAAAAATCAGTGGAGAGGAGAATTCGGGCAACTATACATCCGAAAAGTGGTGTGCCAAGCCCCTATTATTAGCCAATCAACTACCAAAACCCATTTGGAAATTGAGCTCTTCCTACAATTAGTTCTAATGAGACTATTTGATAGAAATCAGATGTATGGCGAGCGCACTAATAAATTCACAATGGTAAAATTCTCTGGCTTATTAAAAACAACAATGATCTGGTTTTGACAATCTGGTCAGACACAATTAGTAAGCAAATGCATAATACAAAAAGTCACATGTTTCAGCGGTAAAAAGACAGTATCTTCCTGTTTCTTGACACTATCTCTGAAATATACATGCAGGTGGCCCCGCTGTATATAGCTTGCGATATGTACAGTGACGCAGCAATGTTTTAACACCCTTGGACAGACTGCTTTTGAGACCGCCTATTGTAGACCGAAGAGCAAGTTTATGATATCTTACTTTTTAAACATTCTTGTTTCAGCAGGTGTTTTTCATAGAAGGTATGGTTCATTCAATACACAAAAGCCAAGTGTTTTATTAAGAAACAAGTTAAAGAGTGTTGAAAAAATCGAATTTTTGACCGGCAGAATCTAAAAAATAAGAGGGGTGTTAAAACATTTGCTGCGTCACTGTATCTGCTAACATACTTTGCGTGCGCTTCTATCACTTATTTGCCAGGCGTTGGATCCTCTTCGAATACTTAATGTAGTTTGCTTCGCGTGGGATTACAGACCCGCACTAGTTGTTCAGACTCTCGGTTGGATTGTCGGACTGAACCTAACTCCAGGCCTCGTGCTTGTAAAATAGTATGAACCATACCGTGGTTCACTCCTGGCAGTGGGCCCGGGATTAAGAACAGAATGTAAAATGGTGAACCTGGCTTTGCAATTATCACCCAAGTAACAGTCCAGTCTGCTGCAATAGTGTTTCAATAAAATAATGTTCACTGTTGCTCTGTATTGACGGCGATCGGTGGTTTGAAAATGTATGGTACCATTCAGTAGTAGGCTAATTCTTTAAGATGACAAAAGGAAAAAGACAATTTCAACCTTGCAATAGACACGCTGACGAATAATAATACGCACGTCTGTACGGTATTCCAATTTCCACAGTAATGTGTTCTATAAATCCATGTAATTTTCTTTGTTTCTGCCAAGTTTTACTAGCCACTTTATCTACCATTCTTGGATTTTCCGCACAAAGCACCAATTGCAACACGAATTTACAGGCAGCAGCTATCACCATCCCCTGGTGAATCCTCATAACAAGTGTTGGGTTTGTATCGACCGGTTGCTACCCTTCAAGATCCAAGTATATTGGTAATCCAAAACCTAACCACTACCAGCACTTGGAAAGTGACCATACCCAATCTCCGGTGCAACATCTAACTCCATTTCAGAAGGCCATACCGGCTTTCCATTCGACTTCAAGTGGGAGTCTGGCTTCGCCCCCGAATGAGTCGCTTGAAGAAAAGTCAAGTCCCCTTTGCCCTTGACGTAGCCATGAGAAGCAACATGGGTATTGCTGGCAAGCTGGACGTCATCCTTGAAACAGAGAGTGACATGCCAACCCAAAGGATCCGGCTTGTGTATGCCTCCTTGACTGGTACTGGACCTCGACGTGTCCCGCCGTTGCGTCTTATGTGCGAGCTCTTGGACCTCATACTTTGGCCCCAAGCTCAATGAAGCATCTGCTAGTATCCCAGAGTTGTGTTCCAATTAATTTCGAGTACGGATTCATTCATCCCTTTGAAACTTCGAGACTCTTTGCCGTTTGCTTGTTCCCTGATATGGAGCTGGATCAACTCGAAGTGGGACTAGGTTGGTCTGCAAATCCAAATTCCTGTCTTCGTGTTGGCGACCAACGAAAGGAGATCGATCCAGATTGCACGTTATGTGGTCGGGCCCACCGATGCTTGCGTCACGAGGTGACACCAACTCAGATGGAAGGCCATAGATCGCCAGCCGTTCATTGAGAGAGATCATCGCATAATACCTTGTGGAATGATCCAAAGCGGCAAAGACACACCATCGGCGCGCCTGGACAACAAATTGCTGACGACACCCACATGCCGCGGATTCCATCCCACTCGGTACTGTCTGGCACTTCAGCTTTCGATTTCCTTCACGCGCAGGGATGGTAAACTGGGGAACTTACCTGCGTCCGAGTGGAGAAGCTCCGATCTGGCAATGAAACACTCTTCTGCATGGAGGACGACTCGGTACTCTGGCCCACCTCCACCAAGTTTTCGAAACGACTCTGCCTCATTGTCTTCCCAGGTGACCAGAAGGCCTCCGGATTGGGGTCTGAGTTTGATGCTATGCGGCAGAACTCGAAGCAGGCGTCTGATCTGACGCATGTATTTCATCTCAGTCATCCGCAGCGTCGAGGATGCTTTGAAGATCGAAGAAATGGACAGGTACAAGAGCTCCTCTACGACATGACTGCAGAAAAACGGCGCATTCTTTTCGGTTATGGCAGCAGGAAACCATTTCCGACACGATGCTTCCTGGTGCGTCGCATCAAAGTCCAACCATCGATGATGAATTTTCAGCGTACCGTGTCCGGCGTCGTATAACACATCAAGCTTCCCTGTCAGTCCTTTGACATAGACTACTTTGATATGTTTGGTCGCCTTCAAAAGTGCCAGACAAGCCTTCAAAGCCCAGTCTGTTGTTTTTGCAAAGGCAGATTCGGGCGTAGCACAAATCTCAGCATCCTTGAAAAGCTCTATCTGCTCCTCCTTGACGGTCCGGATCGGTGTACCTGAGCGCAGCAGGTTCCAGAGGGCCTCTGGAACTCTCGTTGGCCTCTTCCCGGTAGTTTCTCGTATCATGCCTACACTCTGTTCGAGGTTAGTATATTGCATATCCAGCTTGAACATCTCACCGTGAACTGACTTGGACGCTTGATGTCTCGCTATAAAAGAATCGCTTTCTTCTCGTCACATGAAGCAAGTATTCCCAGATACGGGCCGTGGTAGACGGTTCCAAAAGTCTATCGGCTTGTTCAATATCGCCCGCCTGGGGGAAGTTCTGAAGGAGATTGACATAAATTGGAAGTAAAGTATGCTCGTGCATGTGCAGGGCACACTGCCATATTTGCCGCACCTGATCTGCCACCTCACACTTGGCGACCATTCCTTGTCGATCACGGCTGAACTTACCCAGAGCAAAGTTGTAACCAAACTTGTAGCGCTTGACCCCTGAAGTAGTCATTGGTAGCAGGATCCCATGAAGGAAAAGCTTTCCGTGGAACTGCGAATCAAGAAGCAAGTCTCCTCGGGGCGTTTCTACAATCGAGGGGGGATAGGAGAGCCCGCGAATATCGAGAGTGACTCGCAGCCACCAGAAGAATGTTTCAGACGATACCGGTCGATTTTGATTGGCACGTCCAGCCCCAATCATTACCGTGATGTCTCTTTCATCCTGGAACCGCAACTTTGCCATATCATCAGCTGGGTCTCGTTGAATGGCTGGACTCATCTTTCTGGAAGGAGTGATGACACAACGGAGAGACTGGGACGTCCCATGCAGACCAAAACTCCACCTACAGTGGCTTGCAGCCACGCTCATTTTATATCCGTCTCGACTCATTATTAACGCAGCCAGCTTGAGCCCGTCACCGTGGGAGCCTGCCAGCTGGTCTTGCTCGTCCTTGGATGTGAACCCCATCACGAGAGACTCCACGGGAAGTTGCATGCAGGAATTGGTCAAGGTGACTCGACCGGTCTTTTTCTCATATTTTATGTACCCCAGAGCTCGCCGATTGCCGTTGTCATTCGAGGTAGTCGGGACTGTGATGGAGAAATAGTCTTTCTTGTCTTCATAGAATGGCTTGAAATCCAATCGGTTTAGCTGAAATCTTCCTAGAATAGCATCTTTCCTATTCTGTCTCAGTGTTTATCCAATAGAAGAGAATGCCACATACCAATTTTGGTACAGCTCGCGAAATGCATCTGCAGAGTCCCAGCCTTTCACATAGGCAGGTGAAATCCCAACTGGGATAGTTTGCCGTGACGGCTCAGTCGCTGTGTGAGTGGTTCCCTCGCTTTGTTGTAATTCACGATCCAGCTGCAGATTCGCTTCGTCGCTCGTGCTTGTACAACTATCTTGATCCATGGGATCCTCATCGGTGTGATTACTCATCGTTAGGTACGCATTTGGAGCACTGCAGCAGAATGAATTATTGGCTTTTTGTGTCTCTGGGTCGTACGCCTGTTATTTATACGGCGCCCGAGCTTTCCTCTAAGACATCCTCCCTGAAATCGTTGATTGCGGTGAGCAAAGACAGTGACATCCTCATTAATAATTTCATGAGGGAAAGTTTAAACTTGATATATCAAAAATGTGACAATAAACTGGTTTGCATCCATGACTTACCAGACCTTTACGAATGACCAAACGGTGATGTTGAAGATCCTTACGGTTGACTAGCTAGGTCATATCCGGCAAACTCGACATCAACGTTGAATACCCGGCATGTGAACCATGAAGGGCCACCGTGGCTCCGTATTTATATTAGCGTGCCAACTGTTGAGTTGAGTTCA